GGTGATGTTGTCAAAATCAGACGCGAAGTTGAGTGCTTTGTTTAGGAGGTCTAGGCTGATGGATGGGTAGAATTCTCCTATGTCGAAGCAGATGAAGTTAGAGTTGTAGTTTTTGTCTATAGATCGAAACCAGTTGATAACGGCTGAGGCGTTTTTCCATAGGTTGAAGTTGCTTTTTCTCGCAATGTTGGTGTTGATGCGGTCGAGGATCTGTTTGCTCACTTTGCCTATTTCGGATTTCGTCGGGTTGATCAGGCGGCATGTCGGTTTGTTTGAGAAGTTCGGTTTGTGGTCTTTGAGTGTTACGAATGCGTCTTTGTTGGCTGTAGTGTCTATCCTGTCATCGATCTGTAGTTTTGTCGCGATGTCTTTGTTTGTTTTATGGATTGCTTACGTTGTTGTGGGGAGGGCTTTCTTGTAGGATTTTGTTACGTTTTTTTTTCTAGAAGATCGTTGTATTCTGCGGGTTCAAGTTTGTAGAAGTTAGTAGTTTTGTCTGCTGGGACCAGTAGCTTGGGTTCGTTTTTTATGCGGTTGGTGTCTTCTTTTAGTTTGTTGAGGAAAGGGCTATTCACCTGCTTGAATTTTACAGACTGTGTCATCTTGAGCATGCCGTCCTCAAAGTCCTTTAGTTCTTCGATCGGTATATATATAACTAACTGCAGACAGTAATGTTTCGGCCTTCTGGGCCTCATCAGTGCAGTGCTGAAGCTAGGATGGGGGAGAACCGAGACGGTCACCCCAAACGACCCAACCTTTGTGGTATCGTCTAAGCTATGCCAGAGTGCTCAAACTAGTGTAAACTAGTGAGCATGCAGTTATATAGGAAAACTAGTGAGCATACAGTTATATAGGAAAATAAAAATTAAAACTAAAACTTCGCACTACAGATCTGTTTCGAAAGGGTTAAAAGTCCTCTCTCATCAGGTGCATAAGATACTAGTTGACTAACGATTCTTTTTTAAGTAGGTGGTTTGAGCATGCTTTATCAAATATTTAGTTGAGTGCCGGCACCCACTCGCCAGTTCGTTCCTTTTGTTTAGGGTGCCCGCCCCTGTTCTGCATATGATAAAGAATTTTTCAGCTATGCAAAGATTGCATCTCTTTGTAGTATTTGAGTAAGGCCTGGCGCGAGCTATTATTTTCCAGGTCACGGAAAACTCCGTTTCAGCATCCTTTAGGGACCAGATATATTTGCTCAACTCTGTTGCGTTCCTTTTGTTCTCATGTCTAAATGAAGCTGTATGATCTCTAAATCTTGTTTTAAATTGGTTCGCAGTAAGGCCGACGTACGTTTGGGTTTCCAAGGGACTTTCAACTGTGGCCTGGTAGACCACATTTTAAATTAGGCAATTGCCGCGTAGAGGGCAAGAGTGTTTGTCTCTACAATTGCATGATTTTTCTTGTGACTGAGAATTATTTGCGAGGGAGGACTTGTTGTGGGCGTCGATTTTTCTTTCGAAATTTGGCGTGCATGAATAGCTTACTTTCAAAGTGTTCCTATTAAAAAATTTTTCTTAGCGGGTGCCCTGGTGAAAAGCATTTTTTTACTATGCCTAAAAAAGGATTCTTTTACGATGCCTAGTTGTACAGCTTCAATTAGACATGAGAACAAAAGGAACGCAACAGAGTTGAGCAAATATATCTGGTCCCTAAAGGATGCTGAAACGGAGTTTTCCGTGACCTGGAAAATAATAGCTCGCGCCAGGCCTTACTCAAATACTACAAAGAGATGCAATCTTTGCATAGCTGAAAAATTCTTTATCGTATGCAGAACAGGGGCGGGCACCCTAAACAAAAGGAACGAACTGGCGAGTGGGTGCCGGCACTCAACTAAATATTTGATAAGGCATGCTCAAACCACCTACTTAAAAAAGGATCGTTAGTCAACTAGTATCTTATGAACCTGATGAGAGAGGACTTTTGACCCTTTCGAAACAGATCTATAGTGCGAGGTTTTAGTGTTAATTTTTATTTTCCTATATAATTGTTTACAAAGCTCCATGATTTTAGAGCACTCTCTGATTCAAGGATAAGGTTTTTTACGTTTATACTGCACTGATGAGGCCCAGAAGGCCGAAACGGTACTGTCTGCAGTTAGATAAAGCTCTTTGGCATACAAAGCTCTGCTTTCATGTCCAAATTGAGCACTGTGGGGTGAGTCATTGCCGCTTGCATTGCGCATAGTTCACTAGGCTTTCCTAGTTTGAGCACTCTGGCATGGGTTAGACGATACCACAAATGTGGGATCGTTCGGAGTAACCATATCGGTTCTCCCCCGTACTAGCATCAGCACAGCACTGATGAAGCCCAGAAGGCCGAAACGGTACTGTCTGCAGTTATATATAATGAACTGGTGCTAATAGCTCATGAAAAGATGACAAAAAAACCAAGCTACAGAGAAAACAATGGACAAAATACAAGAGATAAAGCCTAAAACTAAGAGATAAAAAAACTAAATATGCTAAAATGAGTGGCGCAACCGAAGAGGCAGTGCGGCAAGCAATAGAAAAGGATAGACCCGCTTTTAACTACAACTGTAAACCGTACCAAAATTCCAAAACAAGGCCTTTGGAGCCCGAAAGGGCTAATTAGCAACAAAATCCCTGGAGGGGCCCTTAAATGATATTAATCAAAATAGGATCCCTTGACAGGGCCTCTGAGTCCAATCAACACCTAAAAGGCTGACAAAATCCATGAAAGGGGCCTTTGAACGATTAATCAGTAACGCCTAATATAAGATGGAAAATTAATTATAGCAATTTAATTATTATCATTAATTATTGTATTAATTTATTATATCAAGTAACACCAAAACATACCAGAAATCTCGAGCTGTTTCGTGACTCTCTTCAGTTTTCGTGTAAAGTGATCTTTCTCCTTAGCAAAAAGATATCGCTCATACATGTAAGTGCCGTACATTTTCTTCACTGTCTTCATCATGTCGCGACAAATGTCCAGCAACTGATGGTAAATCTTGCATTTCCCGGTTTTTGTAGCTAAAATAAATGGGTGAATTGTTTTGTATTGTTTTTTTTATTATCATTATTATTATTTTGCGTTCGCGGGCACTGTAAAAGAAGTATCTGCACTTTATAAGAATATAGTTCTTAATCAGATTCCTAAAATGATCCGTTTTATACCCTACAAGCGGCGTTCTCTCAGCAAAGCTTTACATTATCATGATCTTTAGCTGGAAAAGGAAGATTTTATATATAATTTTGGAAAGGTCTTGACTATAACACAACCTTTATCGGAAACAACAGCATAATGTTTAGCAAAAAAGCATTCAAGCAAAAGACAAATCAACAAAACATCGATTGCAACGAAAATCAGATACTGAAATACAAACATACCTGGTATCTTCCACTTTCTCTTCAGATTTCCCATGCTGGGGTGACTTGGTGGGGCGCTTTTCTTGACTTCCTTCAAAGGATCGTGCTGTTGAATGAGATCCCAGAACGGTTCAATATTTTCACGTTCATCAGCTGTTTCCGCATCTCTCGTCCTCCGTACCAATCCACGGCGTCTTAAGAAGGCTGTCAGTTTCCCTTCCCCTCTGACAAAATCAGGCAAAGAGTTTTTCTCCTCATTTATCAGGCTCCGTTTTTGTTTGACACTTCCAATATCTGGAAACAAGTAGTTTGCCAGGAAACGTGCCATCCGGGGAACTAACTCTTTGTTCAGGCATGCGTGGAAGGGTAGCGTCTTGACCTCATCAGAGCCCATTACACTAGCATTTACACTCATATTAATGCAACTAGTTGCCAAAGAATCGACAGGAGCTTGAAAACATATGCTTTGTATTTTGAGCACGTTTTCCAAACCAACATGTTTAATGGATTTTGATGCTTCGATACCAATGGTTGAATCCCGATCGATTAACGAGAGAGCTTTTCCAGCCGCGTCTAACACTGCCTTTGTTTTGCCTTTAGAGAATTCAGCATCGAAAACACTTTGAGTTACGTTGTTCACGCGCCGTTTCTGGTCGAAGTAGATGTCCTAGAAGTGTAGGCAAACAAAAGAGAGAATAAATCCCATTATTTTCTCTTGATAAAAGTGACAATGCCAAAATAGGTTAGGAAGTCAATTTTTGAGAGGAAAAAGTGTGCAAGAATTGAACTCTTGTTCATGAAGAAATTACGAGGTCAATCGAAGGGCAAAGTATAAAATTTTGATAACATTTTGCAAGATTTGATGCTTCATAAGATGAATAGATTGCAAGCAATCAAACAGACACTAAGAAAAATTTTGAGTGAAACGTTGTATCTTAGGCTCAAAGTCATTTTCACGTACTCTGGCATCCTCAAGGTTGCCGCTGGCCACTCTTCTTATATGATCACAGCCGTGATTGCTTGCAACACATACAGGGTCTCCTGTCTTGTAGCAACATTTATTCCAAGATGGACACTCGACACAGCTACCAAATACATCACGAGCGCAACATCTGTTCCAATCAGGGCAACCAATGCAGCCTGCATATTCAAGAAAGTATTGAAAGAGGAAGAGTCACGAGTTTTACGCAAGCAGGATAGGCTAAATCTTCCTTTCAAAATGCTTTTCAATACTATGTGCATTGATAAAAGTTGCGAATTCGAACATTCCCTTACCCCTCCCAAAAAGAAAAGAAGACCAAAAAAACAAAGCTTACACAAAACGAAAACAAAAACATTCAATACAAAGCAAAACGAAAACAAAACAAAAAACAAAACAAAAAAAAAAACAAATTTCAAAGAGAGTTCGCTCTGCAACTCACTCTTCGCGCACTGGCTCAATTTACAGCTGCTATTGTATCGCTGCTCTGCGAGCCAAACTTCTCTGTTTCTTTCATTCAGAATATTTTCTTCTTCGTCTAGCTTTTGCCTGTAGTATTCTTCGTTCTTCGTGGCCTTGCGGTAGTAGTTTTTAGCTTCTTTGAGGTTGTCCGTGGCTTGACGAATGAAACTATCTGCTTCTGTGGCTGCTGCCTTGATCAGTGTATCTACTGCACTGAGGACCTTGTCGTGAATGCCTGGAAGACATCCATAAGCCTAGGATTTAAATATTCAGACAGTGAATACATTTAATCTATAATAAGGATCAATTCAGGGAGATTACAAAAACTTTCAAATATAAGTTAACTTCTTCAAGTTAAATAAGCAGGCTATTGTCTTCGAAAAGCGAAAAAAGTTTATGAAACTAATGATGCCAGGTATGTTACTTAACTTGCTTATCGTCTCAAATGATCAACGAAAACAAATATTGAAAACGTTTTAACAGTTTATTCAAAGTGAATAAGGAGAATAGAGAATGTTTTATGACTTATCTAAAAGCCTTACATTTGTCTTTTTCACGCAATTTACTTTGCTCAAACCATTGCCGATATTTTTTTTTTTTTACATTTATCCTTTCCCTGGCCCGTTTACTTCAATCCATGCCGAAAAAAGATCGTCATCAATCAGTTTTCCACGATTATTTTTGCCTTTTCAAATGTTAGTACTTATCTAGTCTGACTCATTTATTGTATACCTATGGTCTCATAAACCTTTCACCTGAAATGAGGAAGCCTCAGAATTTCCCAAAACTCCTGGAGACGAGACGTATAACCCAGTTGACGAAATGTCAAATAGATTTCCCTGAACAGGAAATTCTGTACCAGAGTCAGAAATCTTTATTTCTGTTGGAGATCCTGTACCAAGAACTCTGGCAAATCCAACAAGTTTGACCTTCACATCAAACGGAGCAATGGAAACATCTAGTCTTGGGCCACTTTTTGATATTTCCTTGCTTTCTTGCACCACAATGAAGCCATTGGACAACACGAAGGGAGACTTGGTATAGGAGGACGTCAGATGGATATGATCAGAGTCGTGCATCTTAATTGCAGAGTCAAAATACCGATCAAAGATATGAAGTTTTCCCCTCATGGTGAGATTGGTTTTGATTTTCATGGCTGGGTCATAGATCACTTCCAAACCACCAACGAAGGGTGCATAGGCAAGTGGAAATGGAAGAGTTGCGTTGATTCCCATAGCTTCTGCAATGTGATACATTGTGACCTCAGATAGCTTGGACTCCACTCGGCTGAAGTCTGGTTGCATTGCTTGGTACGAGATTGTACAGGGTGCCATTATTTCGTGTCCACTGCCTGACGTTCCAAGCGTCATTCGTCCTGTCAGCGGGAGCTTTTGCAAAGGAATTGAATTCATTATTTCAGTGTTCAATGTTAGCTGATCAAATGTCAAGTATCCGCCGTTGTGTAATCGATAAATAGCATCCTCGCTCTTCATGGACAGCTCAACACTGCCGTTGTCAAAGTTTATGTTTCCAGCAAAGGAAAGTTTTTCTTTTGGAAATGTTAACTTAGACTGTACATTAAAAGACGAGTCATCATTGATAGCCAGTTGGAGCATGTTATCTCGCAGTACAAGGCCATTGCCTAAAACATAGTTACGATTGACCATCCCAACCAGATTGAATCCATCTTGTTTCACTAGACCTTGGATCCGATACCACTGATCGCTTTCGAGCATGCTTTTTGCAGCCTTACACATCTTGTCATGGCGGCACTCCTCGGGCATTCGGAAGAGGCCAACCATGGAGATTCCGCGTTCGAAAGAAAGTCCGGATAGTGTTGGATTCTCGAATAAAGAATCATCATCATCTAAAGAGAGAACTAGAGATGTGTTGAAGCTGTTCCTTAACAATTTTTTCAACTTGTCCACATCATATCCTGTCAAAGCCTCTATTATAAACGGCATGGGTATCTTTGGAAATATGAAACCGACGGATGTCTTAAGTTGCCCTTTGTTCTCGTAGACAACGGCTTCAGCTTCTGTAGCTTTGTCAACACCGGGAAAATTGCCAAGACCTGAGATGTGAATGTAACGATTTTTTTGTTTATCTGAGGTGGCCGATTTGATTTTTGGTTGGATAAAGTCGAAATCACTCATTTGACTGTTTTGAACTATGGCATCACTCTCAGCATCTGGTATAAACGAGAGTCCATACTGCTGAGCAAGTAACTTCACCGACATCTTCTCTGCCATTCCTGTGATAAAAACAACTTTAGTCTCCTCCTCTGTTTTCAGTGTAATATTTGCCTTCGCCCCCCCCAATTCCGAGACCCCATGGCCCTCAAACGACCACGTGTTGAATTCATCTCCAACTCGATGGCGAAATGTTACTTCTGTGTCAGATACGTTCAAAAGGCCAGGAATCACGGCGAAAGTGTCAGATAACTTTGCATGTACACTGAAGGTTTCTTGGTGAATATTGTAACTGAAGTGATCAATGTTCACAGAGGATAGATCTGGAAACCCATGAGGTAGGACCCTTATTCTAGAACTGGGTGACAATGCTTTCAAGGTCTGCTCCACGCTGACCTGTTCGTGGCGAGAAGTTATGAATTTCACCAAAGGAGGGTTAACAACTACTGCGACTTTAACCGGCCTCCTTTCTTCGCTCCCCAAGCGGAATGGAAGCAGGAGAGTTAGGCCTTTAGAAATATGAGATTGCAGTTCATCTGCAAGGATTCCTTCACCGAACGACTTGAGTGGAAGCTTGTCCACGTCTCCCGTTGAAGCAACAAAGCCAAAATTTGTACGGTTCTTTCGGAATACTCGCGTTTTTGCTATAAGATGGTTTATGAACGGAATTTTGAACAGGTCATCACTGACAAGTTTTATGAGAGCTCGTGAAGGGAGATCGTGTTTGAATTCAAGCAAGACCGAAAACACGCTTTTCTTTCCAGGCATTTTGCGAATGAACACTTTGCAATCGGTGGAATGGGTGTCAGAGAGGAGCGGGTCTCCAGAAATCATAAAAACATAATCCTCATTTCCTTTAAACACTGAGTACATCTCAACGTCTGTTAGAAAGAGTTCTTTTAGAGTGTCAACGTTCATTCCTGCATGTTCAACGCTTTTCTTTTCTGAAAGCTCGGATGCAACATCGTACACGTTTAGTCTGTCTGCCGCTGCAACCATGGTGTGATGATCACCGATTTTTGACTCTTCGATCTTCACTGTTGCTGTCATGTTGCCTTGCTTCCACTTCCCTTTGGAAGAGATAATAAATTTCGTGAATCAGACGCTACAATTTTGAAATAGCTAATGGATGCGATTGGAAAATCATAGAAAACGTAACAACGCGAATGGGCATTAAGTAATTAAAATTCTATGAAAATATAGCCACAAAATTGGTATTGCTACCAACCACGGGGAAACACTGAAAAAGATTGGATCATATTTCAGTGGCGATTTTAGTCTCCAAACCCACTGTATACCTTGGAGGATAAGTTTTTATGGTAACCGAGAGTAACCTCAACATTATTAAAAATCACAACAGCGGCATATATTTCACGATAAATTTGATCGACGGACCAATGTTTGGTGCTTCTGAGGATCAACTTCAACTCATTCTTTAGAAAATTTACCCGACTTTATCACAGTTTGTTGTATTTGTATTTGATCTGTTGAAATTCTACGTCATTTTATCTAATTGTGATAATGGTCATGGACACTTACCTTCAGCGTTGAACTGCCACTTCCCTTCTGGCCTATTTTTGTCATATTTGAACGTCATTTTCACGTCATCTAGAGTCATTCCTTGCCCAAGGAGGCTGACAGGATCCTCCAAGTCAGCAGTGACTGTAACTTTACCTTTGCTGGTGCTGTATTCAAACTTGTCAGTCTTCAGCTCTGATAAGGAAGGGAAGCCGTCTGGCATCGAAGGCATGGAGCCCAGTGGAACGATTTTTTGAAGGAGACGCTCGGCCGACGAGATGTCGTCTGTTTGCGTTGAAAAAAATCAGTTGTCTTAAAAATAATCGCAATAAGAAGAATAACATTGAATGCTTTGGCTGAGGTTGAGGACGAAAAATTTAGCTCTGCTTACTGAAACGTAATAATAAGAAATGGGAAAAAAGTTTGATTAAGGAATTTTGAAGATGGAACTAAAATGATGACGGGTAATTCAACAACATTGGCGGTTAACGGTCTTCTAACTTGTCCTTCTTTGGTTAAGCCTTGACTGAATGTATTTCATTTTGTCGCGAAAGATTCAACTGTCTTTTCATACGGCCACGGAATCGAAAAAGGGACGGCCAAGAGGTATTTACTTTATTGATTGATTGACTTCTGTCCAATTAATCAACTTGAACTCATGCACGAATTTTTTTTAGTTTTTTTTTTCTTTTGCAACTCAGTTTTGTTTCCTTTGAAATTAGAAGATGAAAGCTCTTGAATAAGCTCCAAACAATTCTGTTAAAGTCTCGCAAGGGAAAAACTGTACAGTTAATTTCGTTATAGTACAGTTTCCGATAAACATGCATAATTAGGGCAATTGTATTAAACAAGAAAGAACAAGAATAAAGCGCCCATTCATTTTTCTATTTATTCAGCAGTTTAACCATTAAGTGAAGAGTTTGTTTTGAAATTGCTCACATTTCCTAAATTTCTCTCGCACAGGTACCATTCTCTACTTGCAAGGTGCTGCATTCTTGTACTTGCTGAGGTTACATAAACTATTTTACGAGCTGTTTGAAAGGCGCCTGAAAGCCGGCTCCATCAAGTAAATTTTATTTTCTTATTCTTCCAAGATAAAAATTGAACGTTTTCTTATCCTTATCATCGTATAATCTAAACAATTGTACTTAGCAGGAAGAAGAGTATTTTCTTTAAAAAGATGTTGGCAATTAAAAATAGAACTCCAGAATAAGTAACTCTGATTCCAACGCTCTAGCAATTTGATTTCGGTTATTACGAAGCCTCGTTTATTTCAAACTAATGGCTAAAATTCGAGATTTGTAAACGTTTGGCTAAGATTTATATTATTTTCAGTAAGACGTTTTGGACAGAAGTCCTCTCGGTCTAGGAAAATTTCCTTGAAATAATAAAGGAGACACTCCCGATCAGAAATGGGTTGGAATTTGTTCATATCACAGTGGGATTCTCAGAGTCAGCTAAATTATATTCATCTCTCACACACATCTAAACAACCACGTAGAGATATAAAATGCTAAGACAATCGAAGCTCAAATCCAGATGAAACGTAAAATACAGTAAAAGCGAAGTAGTGCAAATATCTCTCATTGTTCACTTTGCTTGCGTAAATTTCCGATTTTCATACAATTCTAGGGTTAGGGTTACCTTTGTCAAAGTCATCTTCGGCTCGGCAAACGAGAGATAAAGAGAGAAGTCCAAGAATAACTTGAAGAGACGAAGACATCTTCATGTTACCTGCCATAGGAGTGAGAGAACAAGTTATAGTTTACGAGTCAAAAGATCACTAAACATCTGACATTGGCGAGTAACATGGTTGGCCATCCAAAGAGAAAATAAATCACAAGTTAGCTTTAGACGTAAAATTAAACTCACTATCGTTAAAGGGGAAAGAGGCCATAAAAACTGAAATAAGAAATCGAAGTAAATTTCAAGTAAGAAAGAACAAATATGATAAATGTATTTAACATGATGGTTTAGTTCAAAGCGAAGATTGTCGTTCTGGTCTAAAATCCTGGCTGTAATCATACATGCAATGACAATAGAGTGTTACAATTCTAAAGAAGTAAAAATAAGTCAAAGATAGACTTCATAGCAGATACTTCACGTCTAATTAAGGCTCTTATATCTGAAATTACCTACCTACTAATTTCTCTCGAGAACACAGCGTATTTCAAATGCCGTCTTTCTCTGATACTAATTTACTGGCGACATCGCCTAAAACTTTTTCACATTAATTGCTGTAGGAATTATAAAATTCTCGAGAGGAAAAAAGAAAGTTTGCTTTTCAAACAATCCTGCCACAAATATTGAATGTTCTTTCTCCTCTTCCCGCTTTGCTCACTTCATGTTAAATTTATCACGGAATACCGGTGTCTTCACGGTGTTGCTTTCAAAGTTCCTTCATGCATATTAATACGTTTACTAAGTTTGTCACGTGGTGACTTGAACTCCCGTTTCCTCGGCAACCAATGTTTTTAATGGCCACAGCAGGAAATATCGTTCAAACGAGATGCGTGAACGGGATAAAGGCAGTCAAAACCTGTTGCGAACGCTGTTTAATTGTTGCTCAGCATGGTATTTGTATGGCACAGCCCATATAATCTTGTAGGTTTTGATTGTTTATAACCCTTTAGTTGCTCGTAATTAGGAATTTAGAAAAAAAGTGTTGTATTGGCTTTCAAATGAGCTGTTCTTGACAAGTTGGACTTTTAATGTGTGTTGTGATCACCCAGAAAAACAATTCAAAATGACTTCCCAATATCTTTCCTATTTAAATTAGTCCAACTGTCTGTAAAACCACAGACAGAGAATACAATGGGCGAGTCTGCAGACAATTCATGGGCTAAGTCAAGCCAAAAGCAACTTGGGCAATTGTGTATATCAGCCTTGAAAGCCAAAGGTGGACATGAACTCACCATGCCAACCAGAAATGCAACCACCCTACTTTCCAGAGTGACGTCGTTATTGTCGCCAGAGTGAGTTGGAATTAGGTCGATGCTACATTGTCTAGTCGTTATTCTTGAATTCTTGACGAATAATTGCGTCCGGCTATGCTTGAGCATCTAGTCGTTTATTTGAATACCACCAAATTGTTAGCATGACAAGATGTTGGTGATATAATCTTGAGTATACTGAGAGAGCTTCATTCAGAACACAGCTCAAGATTGGAGAAAGAGCGCATTTCGTTTGATTGTCGTGGAAATAAACCAAAGGATTCATAAAAGCCAATCAGAATTTATGAAAGAAATTATCACGTGGAACCAATGAAAACCTATGATAAAAACAAGGAAATTGTTCAAAGCGCGGGAAAACTTGTGACCAAATGGCGTTTGGCTTTAGTTTAGAGTCTAATTGGTTGAAAAAGTAGCGGGACTTTTCTTAAGTGGAGTCATAAAAAAAAAAAGACAAGGAAAACCAGATTTCTATCGGTATTTAAAAAGCCAAAACGGAAGTCTAAAAAATAAGGCTTCCACGAGGTCTAAACCCACTCTCGCAGGTAGTAGGTATGCGCGTTGTGAGCGAGGAAGCCATTTGTCGCGAGCGGTAAAAATTAAGGCCATTTTTCAATTATCGCAAATACTGTGCTGTCGTCTCCCCATAACTTGAAATCTCGTTGACCCAAACCTATACAGTGCTAACTCTAAACCAAAGCATAATTCGCAGATTTTATTTCGACTTCAAGAGAACATTACAGGCCATCCGCTGGTGCGTATCATTATATATCAAAACATTGCTAAAAATAGCGCTTGGGAGCGGTATCTACCCTTCCCTCCTTAACATCACGTTGGGTAGTGGCGGGTAATTGATGAAAAAATATAGTTAGTTACACCTTCAGGATAACAAACCGCAATTTCTAGCGGTTTAACGGAAAAATAGGAGGGTTGTAATGGGGTGATGGCTTTTACGGCTATCGGTTAAACATTTAGCTAAATTACGGCTAGTATTTAATATCGGTTCATAGTGGTAACCAGAAAAAAAATTTGCGGTTTATTTTTTTACGACTTTTGGTCAAAATTCGTCAATTTTTACGCCCAGCGGCTAAATGCTTTGGCTGTTTTACAACTACCCCGCAACCCACAGGATGTTTGAGGAAATCGCGAAAAGTTTGTAAATCACTCGCTAACCTTTGATCTACTACTGACTTTCGAGTAAACGGTTGGAGTACAAGTCTACTGCTTTTATAGAATACAGCTGAAATGCTTCAATTTTCTATGGGTTCAGCGGCGCAACAAACGTTTTAAACCAATCAAGGCGCTCGTAGTATCTTACTTTATGTTATGTTAAAAAAAACCCTCGCTCCTGTAAACAAAATTATCGAAATGTGTTCCTGCACTTAAAATCTAAATCAACTGAGCGCTTAAAATTCAAACTACTTTGTTTACCAATCTGATTTAGTAAGAATCTCTTTCTAAAACACCATTTGCGCACCTTGAGGAGAGCTTCGTTCATCTCTGATAATTATCTGAGTTTCCTTGAATAAAAAACAAACCAACTACTTTGTATCGTCTACGGACAAACAATTGCGTGGGGCTTTTGGTAGGTCATTAGCATGTGTATTGAACAATAAGGAGCTCAGTATACTGCTGTGAAGGACACCACATTTGACTGGTGCTTCGAAAGCTTAGTCTGAGAGAAACTGTTAAAGGTAGGTGTCTTTATTCCTCTTTTTCTTACTTCTGCGCGATCTTGGGTCTTTCGGGGAATTTTTATTTCTCTGCTTTTCTACGTCATGGAAACTTTTATTGGGTGTTCAGCACCTTATACAGACTAGAAATAGGCAGCATCCTGTTGAACCAAACCGAAGGGGGATGCACCCGCCGATTTTACGCCGGTTTTTCTTCGCCGAGTTACATAAGACAATCCTCAACTAAAAATGTTGTGAAGACAGTCTGCTCCGGGCGGTTCTTGACGTATAACAAAACTTGGGCAACGAAATGTAGCGTTTAAATTCGTTGTGCGCGCAAAGGTAACTCTATTTCGATTGTCGAGTTGAAAATCTATCTAACCATGCAAAAAGCAAAAAACCCCAGAATGTTCTCGACTCGATGAGTGCCTTCTGATTGAAAATTATTATATCACAACAAGACTAGTCTAGTAAGCATTGAAAACGCAAAGTAGAAACTAACGCTGCCAGAAATATTGTTAAATGTCTCACCTACAGCTCACAAAGAAAAGTAAGCAGTATACCCCCGACGAGAGACAAAACAAAATGAAATACAAACAGTTCAAGGCTATTGTATGCCAGAACACTAAACATTACTGCAGCTGTTCCAGAGAGTTAAGGATGAAAAAACTCAGAATAAATGGAAAAAAGGTTGTGGGTTCCGCCGTCAGCCGTCAAACGGCTCAAAATTTAACCTGGAACCGTCAAAGAGGATAAATATTTGATGTAAGCCGTCAAATAAAAAGCTCAACATTGACTGTCAAACGGTTGAGAAGTCTCTCATCTAGCCACGAGCAGCTCTGCAAGATACCTTTCCCCACCCCTTCAAATTCTCTATAAAAGCAAACAACAGACATGCGGTTTACGCCTTAGGGGAACGATCAATTTTTAAGAAACATTACCATAAAATAGACAAAAAAAAAAGGGAACGGTGGTTTACTTCAGTCTAACGAGAACAAAAACATCTGAAGACTGTAAATAGATTATGCTAAATAAATATGATAAGCTTTAAACCTGTTTTTAAAATGAGGATGGAGTAAAAATTTCTTACAGAAGTGGTAGGAAAAAAGTAAGATCTTTGTCCCACGAATGTGGGACAAATCCATCAGGGGACTATTTAAAACGTCTGTTGATATCCAGTTGCCACGAGCGTGGGATGCATGTGTCAAGCACCCTTTACTAAGATTCGTTGCAAACTTTTTAACCTTTTTCTTGTTATCAAAAGCCTTTAAAAAAATTGTTGAACCTAATCTATGACAAAATACTTTTAGTGCAATGTTTTGTTTCATTTCCAAAAACGCTTGTGTTTAAATTTTGCTCTCTATACCCAACGGAAATCGAAATATATACATGCGTGTATTCAGTTAAGCACAGCCCAATGCACAGAAATACAACGACGTTATTTGAATTTTACCCAACACTTACACAGCACAACTTTCTTCGCAATCCATATTCGGTACACCTATTTCCCCTTAAGCCCGTCTGTAAATTAATAATGTCCGTTATCACGGTGCAATCAAATAGGTATTGAGCAATAAATAAATATATCTTATTAGACGTTTTGTTGCGTAGTATCGCTGAGTATTTTTACGAGTTGTGTCGTATTTTGACGAGCCCGTAGGGCGAATCAAAAAACAAATAACGAGTAAAAATACTTAGCGATACTACACAACAAAACGTCTAATAAGTTATTTATTATCCAACACGCCAAACTGTTGTTTCTGCGAGTGCGTGACAGAAGTATGCGAAGCGGAACGGGATTGGCGCGTTGCTGTGTTGCTGTTTCTATTTTCTTCATTAAATGAAGAAATTTTCTGGTCGTCAAGCTGTTTTTCTTCGCTCGATTCATCAAATGAACTTGGATCTATATTTGCCAGCCATTCTGACTGTTCGTCGTCGGAAATATGATTGAAATTGTCCGCCACTTTTTTTTTTCCATAACTACAATCCAATTCTTCGCTTGCGTGATGCGAGAAAACCTGTTTAACCGGTACTACAATAGACGAGTACAAATACCGCGTGATATTTGTACTTGTCTATGGCGTTATTCGTACTCGTCTAGGTGTAGTTGGATAGTAAAAACATATCATAGAGATTATAGGCGAAGATGTTTTCGGAAAGGACGTTGTAAATTAAGACAAAACTGCAAATCCTTTACTTTTCTTTGAGAGATTTTCGTGAATTGTTGGAACTCAACTCTCAACTGATTTGGCTTGTCAAGCTGCTGTTTGTTTAATATTTTTGTTGTATGAACAGCTGTTATCGGAATTGAAGGGCACATTTGCGGTTTGCAGAGTCTCTGCTTTATATGTAGATCTCGTTCCAAACTATTCCATTTGCCGCAGCCGTTTACTCTCGTCTCAGGTAGAAGAAGTAAGGCAGCACCTGATAATCTCATGCAAGTTTGATGGATATTGTACATGTGTCCCATATGGACGGTAGGTAAGATAAAGATTGTAAAAGTTCTTCCGGTTATTGTTTGCGTCTCGAAAACGTTCCTGCCTAAGTTCTCTTTGTTCATGGTGAGAGGGACTGTGTCATGCCAGTATTGCGTTTCCTCTAGCAACACATTCAATAGCCCATTTCCGAATTGCATTTAGCCTCTTTTATAAAGCGAGCCCTGGTGCTCATCCTTTCGTATGGTAGTAGATTTCTCATTCACATGCAAATTAAACTCATTTTCATACGTATGGTTGAGCACCAGGCCTCGTTTTGAAAAAGAGGCCAAACGTAATTCGGAAATGGCCTATTACCCAGAGTCCAGGACCCAGTTGCATGCGGGAGGGATAGCGCTCTATCCAGCGGAAAAGCGATAGCAAAACATACTGCGTTAATCACCGGATAGAGATTTATCCAGTACATAGCGTTATCCAACCATCGAAGAACCGGGAGCCAGCTGTCTAACTACTTGGCCATCTTGGCTCGCATGGCCGTTTTTGATCGGAAAGAGTTGTTACTGCTGTCTTTATGGCAATTTGAATAATAGTTTTTGCTGTAAGCTCAAACCTCTACTTAAAGCGAGGTTGCTCAGTTTTAACCTTAAAAGGGATAACAGTAACTGAATCTTTTTTATTTAGATGTCGAAACAAAAACAAAAACTAAAACAACAGCACACACACACAAATAAAAACGTTAAAATTACCAAAGGAAATACGGTATTGATAACGCAGTCACTTGCCCTTGAAAATAACTAACAAAAACAGAATTAAAGTTCAAACCCTTAATTCAAAGGAGATTTGCTGATAAAGTTCCCTCGCCGTAATCTCGAGACTTACATTTCAGAGCTCTGGCAATAACATGCTTATCAGCCGGATGATTTCAACGTTATTTAGCTGCATACCATTCTTATCAAGGAAGTATACAAGATCTAGAAGAGAGAATTGGTGATCAGACATTGTGTGAAAAATATTCAGAACTACACTTTAGTAACGCCACCAAAGAAAGCGGTGATACACCGAAATATGTTTTTGAAATTTCGACAAAATTTCCCTGGTGAACTGTGTTCCTATCTACTCGAGTGGATTTCTAGAAATCGCGCTAGTTGATAATAAAAAGAGATTTTGATTATCATCATTAATAAGGACAAAAAGGTAAAGCGATAAAATGAAAAACGAAAGCAAAAAAAAAAATTATCAAATAGATGAAATATACGCGCGGAAGACTGACACAACCGCAGTCGCTTGAAATTTTTTTAGGGACTTTAAGAAACCACGACGGCAACGCCAAGGAAAACTACGATTAAAAAATGAATTTCTACTCTTAGTTAGAATTTCAAAAATGGCTGCAGGAGCTTACTGTCTCATACAGCGCCACAGCTCAACTTCAGCATGACGTATAAAGTAGCCGTTGAGTTCCAAATGGAAATTAAAATAATTTGCCGTCGCGGTTTCGGTTCGCAGACGACGCAAATTTTGGCGATTTCACGTTGTTGTTTTGCATAGGACAGCTAAGAAATGTACAAAGTTTCAAAACGCACGTGCTGAGCTATTGTTCTGCCAATTAGATCTCTTGTTTTTTCACGTCCTCGTTGCCGTCGCCGTCGTGGTTTCTTAAGGTCCCTATTAGGGAACTTAAGAAACGACGACGAAGGGACGACGACGACGCTTTACATCCGAGAAAGACTGGACCGAGGATTTGGTTTTCGGAGGGAAAATTTGAAGGTTAAGCGCTGCCAGAAC